CCCAGAGTGCTAGGATTACAGGCATGAGCCACCGCGCCTGGCCAGGAGAGGCCCTCTTGCTACTTACTTCCAAAGTAATCTCTCTGCGTGGTACCAGGGCTTCATAGTACCTGCTACTCAAGTTTGGATGAATGATCTGCAATTACTCATATAAAGTATGTACTCTATGCTGGACTAGAAGTTCAATAAGGACATGGATAAGGCTTGTTTTATTCACCTACACATAGCCTAGCCCCAGCATATACAGAGAAAGCTGATGATGATTTGTATTTTATATGAACTGCATTAGTGTGAGAATCTTCATTATAAACAAAAATTAAAATTCTTGACTATCTGAACTTGCATCTTTGCACTGAATCGTGCCTTTCTTGGTTTGTTTATTTTTGTTATGGTTGCACTGTTCCTTTCAATAATTTTCCTAACAGCTAATGAACAAGTCTGTATTTAATTTTTGATTAATTAACATGCTCTGGCAGATTTACATTCAAACCCTCCTGTTTCAAATATGTTCCTAATAAAAAAAATTCTTAGAAGTAAGAGGAAAAAAGGAGATTTTATCGACACTATTAATTTAGATGGCCAAAATATGATTTTCTTCCCCTTTGTACAAATCAGTTTCTTTTTTGATAGAAATACATTCTAATTTCTGCAGAAAGAGCAAAGAACTATGATACTTAGCATTTAGCTCCAGAAAGAAAACCAGCAGAGGGAGCATAAGAACTTAAAACTAGTTTCCTAAATCCCTACAGATTAGAAACTGTTATATTTTGGCCTCTGGGCATGACTATTACACCAATTCCCTTATTAACCCCCATGTCCCTATGACCTTCTGTGCTGTGAAGAGAGTGACGGGGTGAAGGGCTATGATGCTGGACACATGCCAAAGAATTACCTGCTTCTGAGTTTGGATCTGGAGTGTTTGAGATCTCAAGACCACTCTTTAATGGATCTAGGTTTACCTTAAGGTCTTTGATTGGGCCTTACAAAAACCCCTTTCTCAGAACTGTGTCTGGCTGAGTCTGGGATCGTCCAGGGGTCAGAATGGGCCTACGACGTAGGGAGAGCTCACCACTATACCCGAATCACCATGGACTCTCTTAGACGTCCTTGCTCTGGCTTCAATGCATGAGTTGTGCTGGAGTCAGATTACTGATGGACAGATACCACTCTCAGGAATAGTAACAACAACAAGTTAAATATCTGACTCCCTACATTCGCCTTCCTGTTAGTGACCTTCCCGGGCCATGTCCTGTTTTCCTCAAAGCTATTTCTTGATAAAAATGAACTGAGAATGCTTTAAACTCTTGGAGAAAGATAAGACGCAATGCCAAAGTAATATTTAATATTAGGACAAGTCTGCAAAACATGAGATTTTTGAGCCACACATGGCTGACAGCACAGTGGTTAGAAGCAGCTACTGACCCCTTTCCTGACCTCGAGGCAACAATATATCACATAGAACTCAGGGGACTCCCATTAGCTACCCTACAGTGAGTGCCTGAGTACCGAGGACTGGAGAAGTCAGCCTGAAAGCCACCTTGCCAAAAGCGAATCTGGGAACATCAGGTCCATCATCAGGCTTGCTGAGTGTACCTCCTAAATTTTACCTTGAGTCTGTCCACTCCTTGCTTTCCCATTGCCACTGTCCCATTTCAAGGGACAGTTCTCGGTCAGGTGTGGCTGGCTCCGCCTGTAATCCTAGCACTCTGGGAGGCTGAGGTGGCGGATTGTTTGAGCTCAGGAGTTCGAGACCTGCCTGAGCAAGAGCGAGACCCTGTCTCTACTAAAAAAATAGAAATTAGCTGGACATTAAAATATATATATATATATATATATAAATGTACATATATATAAGTGTGTGTATGTGTGTGTGTGTGTGTGTATAAAATTAGCTAGGCATGGTGGCGCATGCCTGTAGTCCTAGCAACTCAGGAGGCTGAGACAGGAGGATTGCTTGAGCCCAGGAGTTTGAGGTCGCTGTGAGCTGGGCTGACGCCATAGCACTCTAGCCCAGGCAACAGCGTGAAACTCTATCTCAAAAAGAAAGGACAGTTCTCTACTAGCTTTCCAATTACACTCTCTACTGCCAGAACAATTTTTAAAAATCCAATTAGGTTAACTTCTTTTCTTCAAACTTTTTAATGGCTTCTCATTGACGTCAGGAAAAAGCCAGAGATGAGCCTCTGAGATCTGAAGTAACCCTCGTTTCCTTTCTGGCTGTCCCTCTACCCCGCCTTCCCTCTCCCTCCCTCGTGCCCAGCGTTCCAGCCAAAAAAGTGTGACTAGCAGCTCCCCGGAGCGTCATGCTGTTGCCAATGTCCGCGCCTTGATCCATGCTGGTTTTCTCTGCCCCGATTGCTCTTCTCCCTTCTTTTTTTATGAACTCAACACTAACTTATCCCCAAAGACCTTAGGGCAAGCGACATCTCCCTGATCACCTCCCACCCCCTTCCAAGTGAGTTGCTCAGTGCTCGCTCCCCACCCTGCCTTTGCCACCCAGCACTATAATTACACTGGGTGGTGAGGAATGTGAGGACAATGACTGTGCCTTTTATTTCTGGGACTGGGAGTAGTGGCTGAGGTCAACAAGGGAGAGCACGGAGTGTAAAGAGAAGAGGATGTTGGTCAGAGCCTGGGTGTGCCACAGACCGCAGGGAAGTTGCAGAAAGCCATCAGAAGGGTGGAAGGAAGACTGGGAGAGAACGTGTCACAGAAGCCAGAGGCAGGCAGTTACAGCAGATATTGTGGCAGAATGGCCACAATATTGAATGCTGCTGAAAGGTTAAGGATGACAAGGTTTAAAACGTGTCCTAGCAGGCTGCCGGTCACCTCAGGGACAGCAGTGTAAGTGGAGTAACAGAGACAAAGCAGACTGCAGGGAGCTGGAAAGCAAATGGGAAGTACAGGATTTGAAGCAGCTGGGGAAATTCTATTCTCTTAAGAAACATAGCTGTTTGCTACAACCTGGGTGAACCTTAAGGACACTATGCTGAGTAAAATGAGCCAGTCACAAAAGGACAAGTACTGTATATGATTCCACTCCTGTGAGTCACCTAGAGTAGTCAAATTTGTAGAGACAGAAGGAGGATCGTTGCCAGGGATGGGGGGCGTGGGAGTGGGGAGTTATTGTCTAAGGGAACAGAGTTTCAGTTTCACAGATGAAAAATGTTCTGTGACGGTTGCACAACAATGTGAATATATTTAATGCCACTAAAAAGCACATTTAAAAATGGTTAAAATGGTAAATTTTGTTATGTATATTTTACCACAATGTAAAAAAAAAAAAAGAAGGCTTGCTGTTAAGAAAATAAGATGGAAACTGCTACAACAGAACATGGGATTAAGAGGGCTTTGGGGTTTTTTTTTTTCCTCATCTGCAAGTGAGATTAGATGGTTTATTTTTTTAACAGAGAGGCAAGCAACTTGAGCATGTTGATAAATCGGGAAAAGTGAGTTAGTCAAAAGGGAGACAAAGGGAATAATTCTGGTGTGGAGGCACTGAGGCAAGCTCCCATCCCTGGAGATGAAGGAGAGAGGAAAAGTTTATTTGTTGGGGTAGGAAGGATATAGAGTGGACAAAATATATAAGCTTCTCTCTGACAGCTTTTGAAGAAGGCAGGGATGAGTGAGGAAGGGACTTGGGGAGGGTGGTGACAGTCTGCAGGGCTACTCAGGGCACTGGGAGAGGGGGTGACTGCGGAAGAAGGTGGCCACTCTCACTCAGAGAACTGAGGACTTTGCGGAGCTGTGGCCGAAGTGAGGCATCAATGGGAAGGAGGGTGATAGAGGGGCTGAGATGCTGGAAACTTCGGGGATCAGGACCAGAATTCTCCACAAGGGTAAAGGGCAGCTGGAATGGAGGAAGGGTGTAGAAAACTGGAAGATGAGGAAGGTGAAGTCAGCAGTGAACCACACAAGTGTAAGGTTTCTGAGGTGGGATGGTTCTGGGCTTGGCCAGGGTGTAGGTGGCTAAAAAGAGAAATTCAATCAGAAAAGACCAGCATCCTACCCACTGGGCAAGTCTCTATGTGGTCTTCCTCCTAAAGGCACAGATAATTAAGATGGCCTTTTGTGAATCTGTTTCCTTGGATTCAATCTTCTCTTTACTATCTGTTTCTGATTCCAGCATTCCATTTTTTCCTTCAGGAAAGCCCTTATAATCTGAATACTACCCAGTTCTACATCCTCTTTCCCCTGCTTTTCTTCTTACATGACATCTAAACTCAGTATTAGCCCTGTTCTACACTAAATCATGGGTTGGTAGTCTACAGAAAACATAAAAGCCCATCAAGAACCATGACAACAGGCAGTGACTCATTTTCCATGGTCAACATTGTCCAGAGTCAATACCACATGTTAAAAATACTAGCAGAAAATTAATCATCATTATCTATTCAAGTCTTTCAAAGACCAAGCATGAATATTTTATATTACTTTGCTTAAATGACCCTGAGTAGACTAGTAACATAAAGGGGACCTTGGGTTTTAAACTAAAAAGGACCCCAAAGGAAGGAAAGTTATAGAGGAACTTGTCTCTTTTTCCACAGCCTAGCTACCCATGATGAGTGTATTTTTCTTTTCATTTGTCTTGAAAGTGGGGACCCTTCTTGCACAGCATCTTCTCACTCCAAGAAGGACAAGGTCAGACTGAGGCAGCTGTCCTTTTGGCCTTCGGAGCACTGAACCATTGCCACAGCTTCAAACAATGTCTCATTAATGTATGCCAACATTGGCTTTCTCTAGTGCAATATGACAAAAAACCAAATCACCAACATTTTCAAAATAGATTGGTTCCTCTTTAGTTTGGATTACATAGAAGAATTTTTGACATTGTGTTTTACTGAACCATTGTGAAATCAATTAAGCATATCATATGTATCTTTGCAGAAGCACAAACTGTACTTTGCCACTTTCAAAACAAATCAACTGAACAATAAGATACGCAGCAGGCACTATCTCAGTGTGGTATCAACACATGATGATTTTGCTTTTAATCCTACCTGTGTGTCCTCTGAAGGTTGTGACCAGGGTGCAGTTTTCTTGCTCCAGTTTGAGGATTGTGACTTGGCCTGAGTGGTCACCAATAAACACATGCCGGGTTTCAACATCAAATCTATCATGTAAGCATTAAGGATTGTTTCTCAGAATTGAATGGGCAGAATTTACAACGAAAAAAAAGAAAAAAAGGCATAAATGTAATAAGAAATGTACAAATCCCACCTGAGGAAAACTTGAAGATAGTGCTAAAAGACACAAAAGTGGAATTAACAAAATAAAGGATATGCCATATTACTGGACAGTAAAATTTAAGATGCTATATTATTGGATGGTAAGACTTAGAGATGTCACTTCTCACTACATTTGTTTATAGATTTAAAATAATCCATATAAAAATATCAACACATGTTGTTTTCTAGAGCTAGGTATGTTCATTCTAAAGGTATATGGAAAAATAAATAAGGCAAAAGAGCCATAAATATTCTGATAATAAGAATAATATAATATGTGACAGGAGAGGTGAGTTGTACCAGATATTAAAACATGTCATAAAGTTTCTTTAATTAGAAGTGCGGTACTGGTGCATAAATAGGCTAATGGAACAAAACAGAAAGTCCAAAAACAGGCACAAAATCACATAGAAAGTATCTGACGAAGGTAGCTTTTAAATGAATAAGGAAAGATGAATTTTTAAAAAATTATGTTGGCAAAAACCAGATAGCCATTTGGAAAAAAATAGGCTCTGTATCTCACATTGTATATCAAGATAAATCCCAAATGAATTAGGGATCTAAATGTGGAAAATGAAAATGCAAGTTCTAGGTAGGCGAGTCTCTGCATAACCTTGCAGTGGGAAAAGCCATGCCTCAAAACACAAACAACAAATACTATAAGCAAAGCCAAAAGAAAAAAATGTTTGCAACTTATGTCACAAAGGGCCCAAATCCCTAATATAAAAAGAGTAATAAAGAATAAAAAGATCACAAACTTAACTTAAAAATGGGCAATATGTGAATGGAACTATGAATGGATAGTTCGAGAACTTGAAATGAAAATGGTGCTGTGCAAAAAAAGAGTTAACATAGCAGACCTGACTGCTATCCTTTGAAAGGCTCCTTACAAAGCTGGCATAGTGTCTGGGAACTTGGATTTTTGGGAGCGTTCCCACCATTAACTGATAAGAGTGGCTCACTGTGCCTTAACCAGACAAACAACACAGCATATCCTGAATACCTGCTTTCCTTCTGGGAGTCTGGAATTTTGGTACATGCCAAATACAGGCTGCCTATGTGACCAGCCTCCAGTAAAAACCCTAGGCATGGAGTCTATAGAGAGCTTCTCTGGTTAACAATGCCTAGCAATCCTATTTCTAGAGATTATTCCGGTACACCAGCAAAAATACAAAATGACGCATGCCTGAGGCTATTCATTCCATATTATTTTAATAGCTAAAGTTTGACAATAACTCAAAAGTCCATCAATAGGGGACTTATTGAATTAGCTATGCTATATCCACACAACAGAATATTATCCAGCTGGGGGAAAAAATGAAGATTTCCATATACTGACATGAATATTCAGGATACGTTCTTAAGGGGGGGGGGAGCCAGGAATATAAGAGTTTATAAGCTATACTACCTTTGTGTAAGAAAGAGAGGGAAATATAAATGTGTGTGCATGCACACGCAGGGATGTACTCATATTTAGAAAAGGAAGCGGTGGAAGGACTAAGATCTAATGGAAATGGCTGCCCATGGGTGGGGAGAGAATCAAGGTGAGGGAACAGCAATGAAAGTGAGACTTCTCTCTTGTTAGAGGTCCCATTTTGGAATCCTGCAATAATATTACATATTAAAAAATATATAAAATTAAAAGAAAAAAATCCCCCAAATTGAAAATAAATTTAAATAAATGAAACTCACTATAAAATTGGTGACATAACCACACAGTTAGAATTATTTCAAGTGACTTTAAAACACAACATTTTGAATCTACATCCTTGGTATTCTAAGGACAGAGAGAGCTGCAAAGCAATCTAAAATTCTTATTCAGTAGTCTTATTGTTATTTTAACATTGCACTTACTATTTTGAAACCATTTAAATATACCACAGGATAAAGCAAATAAGGAATTATGACAGTGTTTTAGGAACCAAGATTTTCAGCCCAAGATAAAAGAACCAGTACAAAATTGAAGAAGTAAAAACCCTGTAATGTTAAATTTTAATGAAAAATATATGAAGTGATGATTTATTTTTTTTGAAAGCACATACACACACACCCCATATATATTTTCTGTCATCTCTGAATATTATTCCTCACTAAAAGAATGGCTGTTTCCAGGACTGGGACAGGAAAGGTACAAGATGAGCTTAAGACATGTTGTGCCAGAAAGCAAAGAAGCTACCAAAGGCAAGTGGGCTTATCTCAAATAGACACAGCAGTAGGGATGAACAGACAGAGCGCACAGGTTGTCTAGGGCAGGGAAACCCTTCTGTCTGATACTGTAACACGGTGGAAACATGTCATCACACATTTTTCCAAATCTATACCATGAATAAGACCAAGAGTGAACCCTAATGCAAATGATGGATTTGGGGTGATAATGATGTGTCAACGTAGGTTCATCCATTGTAACAAATGTACCCCTACTCCAGAGGGGGATGCTGGTAACAGGGGAGCTGTGCATGTGGGCACATGACGTATATGGGAAATCTATACCTTCTGCTCAATTTTGCTGTGGGTTTAAAAGTGTTCTAAAACATAGCCTTTAAATAATAAAAATAAAAAAAGACATTGGGATCCCTTTGATGGGGCTGGCCAAAGATGGGATAACTTGAGCATAACATTAAAAAATGGCAATTTACTGAAATGTACTGAATAGATTATTTAAAAACAAACAGGCCGGGCGCGGTGGCTCACGCCTGTAATCCTAGCTCTCTGGGAGGCCGAGGCGGGCGGATTGCTCGAGGTCAGGAGTTCAAAACCAGCCTGAGCAAGAGCGAGACCCTGTCTCTACTATAAATAGAAAGAAATTAATTGGCCAAATAATATATATAGAAAAAATTAGCCGGGCATGGTGGCGCATGCCTGTAGTCCCAGCCACTTGGGAGGCTGAGGCAGGAGGATTGCTTGAGCCCAGGAGTTTGAGGTTGCTGTGAGCTAGGCTGACGCCATGGCACTCACTCTAGCCTGGGCAACAAAGCAAGACTCTGTCTCAAAAAAAACAAAACAAAACAAAAAAAAACCCAAACAAACATTAAGGAGTTCATAACAATACTCAAAAAGAAAAAGAAAAGATCCCTACTGGAGGTAACCAGGGCACTAAATCTCTACTCTGAAAATTAGATATTAAAGAGAAAGAATTAAGAATGTGTCCTGCTTTTCTTACAGTAATTGTACTTCGGGGTAACCAAATAGCCCTAGTTAATAAGGGTAAGTTCTACTTTAGTAGAATTCTAACTAATACATGGGAAAAATACGATGGGATTAGAAAATCACCATTTTGCCACCCTACTGAAAGAACTGATTCAGAAAAAACTCAGGAATAGATGAAACCATTAAAAGAGAGGCTTTCTCACTGCCTTTTCCTGGGAAAAAATAAATAAATAAATAAATAAAATAAAAAAAAAAGAGAGGCTGGTAGGGAGGACCTCACTGCAGGGGTCGACTGTCACCACCTGAACCACTGATTAACCTCAGCATAACCTGAAGGGTGATAACCTATCGTCAGGAGCCTGCTGATGGGAAGCAACACGACGCCCACAGAGCAATCACCAAGTGTTCTTACCAACAAGTCAAATCTGAATGAAATCAAGATTTTAGGGGCAACTCCGTTTACAGACAATATGGGAGAGAGGTAGGTAGAGGAACGAGTTAAATGATATCATGAAGAAAAGAGATCAATTTAGAATATGGGACAGTCTGTAGGAGAACTGATTTAATGAGGCAGTGGCATAAAAAAGAGTGAGGAGGCACTAAGCCAGGTGAAGAAAGGTTTAGAAGACATGACAACCACATGCAATGCGTGGACTTTGTCTAGATCCAATTTCAAACAAACCCACTGCACAAAGCCATTATCAAAACAATCACTGAAATCTGAAAATGGTTTGATTATTCAACAACATCAAGCAGTGATATTAATTTTTAGGTGTAGTAATAGCATTGCGATTATTGAAAAAATGATCCATATATTTTCAGTGAAGTATGTAAGGATGAAACAACATAAGGTATGGAATTTGCTTTAAAATATTCCAGCAAAAAAGAAAAGCACAAAGGGATAGGAGAATCAACAGTCAATGTGAATGCTGGGTATCTGAGTGTCCATTATACTATTTTTTTCCAATTTGGTGAATGTTTTGAAAGTTTTCATAATAAACCGTTAAGAATAAGGCATAACAAAAAATTATCATCCTCTTCTAACCAGTTATCAGACATAAGTAAGATAATTACTAAAACTTATAAGGAAAAAGATCACCTTAAATTTATCATGAATTATAAGAACCCCACCCCCCACAAAAAACAGACCCAATTTGATACCAATAGTCTTTATAACTATTAAGTAAATAATAGTATTCGCTTTAAAAATATAATTCAACAAAAGGTTATTTAGAACAGAGTTGAAATAAAATTATAGTACAACCTCAAAGCCACAGTGACTGGCATTAAGTAGGATAGGAAGAAATTGAGATAACCTTAATAGCTAGCTTTTCAGAACTCTTCACTTGCATGGGAACAAATCTAAGAGATTACATTAGGTAGGAGAACACTGCATTATACAGGGTGACATTTTGTAAATATCTCCAACATGAATAAAATCCTAAAATAAAAGGTACTTGAATTATTTTTGTGAAAACAGGAAAAATATGATCAAAAAATGGTCAAATAACAAGCCACTGACAGGTGAGGCTAGATAAAGTATTCACAAATTTAAAAACTAGCAAGTGAAGCGGGGAGGCAAAACATTTCTATTTCCTACCATCTATTTTCCACGGGACTTTGGAATATACCTCCACTCTACTGTATCTACTTGTGCAGAGGACTAGCTGAAAAATTTAATACTCAAGTTCTAATTCTGGTTCTGCCAGAGAACAGTCATGTGACCTTGAGAACTAGGTCTTTCGCTCTTGCTTCACATCATCATTTCAAAAGTGAACATAGGAATGTGCAGAAGCACTTTGTAAATTCTCTGGACCTGCAAATCTAAGATATTTTCTTCTTTTTCTTTTCTCTTTCTCTCCTTTTCTTCCTTTTTGCTTTTGTTGTTAGTACTATAGATCACTTAATATTTGAAGCTTCAGATCTTTAGCTAAAACAACCAAAGAATTTTAGGTTATTCGTAAGTTGATAATTTAATTTGTGAACTAGCCAGTCTCTTTGTGTTTCTTCATTTTCCCATGGGTATTTTGGGTATTTTCAATGCATATTTACTTCTCTACTAAGAGGCCTGAAAGAAGAAAAAAACAGGCTAAATTCAATCTGATTTATTCTGTCACTTGTTGGTTTGGCTGAATGAGAGAGATGGGAGAGAATTAGGTCTCTAATCTATACCATTAGCCATATAGTATGAAGATAAATAGGTGTACTGATATTATTCTGAGACATTTTACGCTGTTCCACCAGATCTTCTTCTTCCTTCCTTCATCACTTAAAAAAAACCCAAAACCCCACTTTTAAATATGGAGGGTGGCAGAGGGAAATAAAGGAAAGATGTAGGGGTGGGAGGTTTTTATGAGGAAATATGTTTAAAAGCTAATTGAAATGTGAACCCTAACACTGTATGGCTTGCCTTTTAACAATGTGCCCACAAGCCAGCTCCCAGAAAAAACCTCTAGCACTGGAAAAGTCACATGGTTCCTGGTCCCTCTGGCAAAAGCACAGAGCTGTCATGCTATCAGTGTTTAGCAATGGAAAAAATATACAAGAGCAATGGTTGGCACTGTGGCTCCAAAATCACAGCTAGCAAGGTAGAGCTAGTGGAGGTCAAGGAATCTTCTTAGGAGGGCCTCTCTGTAGCATTGCAGCTCCCTTCCACCTTAACAGTGAGGTTGGCTGGGTGGGCACTTACAGTGGGAACTGAAGCTCAGAGGTTACACACACACACAAGCTTCTGATACCCAATTTTATGATTATCTGCTTCGTAAATCACACAGTGTGGCGAAAGGAAATACTCAGAAAATGAGTATGACTTTTGGATATGCCTAAAGAGCTGGTAGCTATAAACTTACATGAAAGACCACCACAGTCATGGCTAGTTTAATTCTGCATTTGTTTCTGTTTTTCATTTTCAGGTAGTTTAAAAAGTTTGCTTCTTGAGGGTGAGATCTGTATTTTTTCCCACAGTTCTTGGCCTGGCTAAGTGATACAGAAGATGTATAGAAAGTATTTCACTAGGCTTGGCTAGCGATACAGAAGCCAGCATAAGACCAGATTATACTGATGGCAACAGTTCTTTCTCAAAGGAACAATGCAGTATATGGTTTTTTTAAAAAAAAAATCAAATCCAAGGTAGAAGACCTGGGTTCTGGTAGGGATTTTCCTACTTACTGGCTGGGTAGTCTCAGATGAGCCATAGGGACTCTTTTTGGGCTTCAAGTTGGTTCATCCATAAAATCTTCTTTTTGGGCTTCAAGTTGGTTCATCCATAAAATCTCTAGCTCATCTGCTAGAGACTGATTTTTTTTTTTTTTTTTTTTTTTTGAGACAGGGTCTTACTCTGTTGCCCAGGCTAGAGTGTAGTGGCATCATCATAGCTCACTGCAACCTCCAACTCCTGGGCTCAAGCAGATGCTCCTGCCTCAGCCTCCCAAGTAGCTGGGCCTACAGATGTGCACCACCACATCTGGCAAATTTATTTTAATTTTTTATAGAGATGAGGAATCTCATTATGTTGATTGGGCTGCTCTTGAACTCCTGACTTCAAGCAATCCTCCTGCCTCAGCCTCCCAAAGTGCTAGGATTACAGGCCACTGTGCCCAGCCTGAATTTTTAAAACAAGTATTTAATTGATAAATAAAAATTGTATATATTCAAGGTATATAATGTGATGATTTGATATACATATATTGTATAATGATTAGCACAGTCAAATTAATTAACACATGCATCACCACCCATAGTTACAATTTGTGTGTATGTGTAGTAAGGAAGACTGAATGTTTATGCACCCTCGAAATTCAAATGTTGAAACCTAATCCCCAATGTGATGGTATTTGGAGGTGGGGCCTTTGGGAGTGATTAGGTCAGGAGAATGGAGCCCTCACAAATGGAATTAGTGCCTTTAAAAACAGGCCCCAGAGTGTCCTTTGCTCTTCCTACCCTGTGAAGACACAGGAAGAAGACAGTTTTCCATGAAGCAAGAAGGGAGCCCTCACCAGACACTGAATGTGCTGGTGCCTTGATCTTAGACTTGCCAGCCTCCAAGGTATGAGAAATAAATTTCTGTTGTCTATAAGACACTCAGTCTAAGGTAATTTGTTAGAGCTGCCCAATGGACTAAGACAGGGGGGTTAGAGTGGATGATCTCAAAGTGCCCCATCCACTCTTACACTCTAAGGAATCATTAATGTTTTGGCAAGAGAGTTCAAGTATTTCAATTCGAGCACTATGCTCATCCGAACTGGCTTGTAGAAAGTCAAGTTTGGAGTTTCTTTTATTAACAGGTGGTATGACCCTCTGAAAGATAAGCTGATCTTGCTTTCCATTCCTTATCAACCTTGCCTCTGGTCTTCTTGGGAATTTGCCACTTTCATAACCTTCCACAGTGGCCACTGTTAGTTTCTTTACCTTGCCCTTCCAGTGAGAAAAATAAGAGTAACATTAGCCTATATACACACAAAAATATCCCTCCTGCCACAGGGCTGCAAAAGGCCAGTAATTTGCTTTGTCAGGTTGTTGAGAATCACTGAACAGGCATTTTATAAATACGGAGATGAAAGAAACTAGAAAGCAGGTCTTACTGTTTTTTCCTGACAAGTGATCTGTTTCCACCTACTTTCTCATTCATCAGCAGGTGGAGAGACTAAGAATCTCAGGGTCCTTTACGTTGTAGGGACAATGGTAGCATCATCCACCGATGCCACACACTGGTCAACACAGCTTGTTGGAGCCCAGTCGGGCAGATGTGAGAATTATCTGGTATCAGCAGGGATTTACCCTGAGCACATGAACCCTGGCAACTTGGGAGATAAGAATACCATTCCACAAATCCTGGAAGAGTCTCATGCCTAGAAGTAAGCTAGAACCTTATCAAGAAGATACCTGCTGACCACTCTAGTCCTGCCGGCATGGTAGCCTCTCAATAACTATCTTTAACATGAATAGGAATCCTGTGGTTCTTTTCCCAGGCGTCAGTAGGAACATTCACAACCTTAAATATCTATGTGTAAATTATGTCTGTACAAAAACCAAAGATTATATTTTGGTTATGGTTTCATCTACATGTACCATAATTCTGACAGCTGAGGTTCACAGATCTGGGCTGTGTCCTGTCTAGATGTCAGACCCTGTGTCACAGTAGATACACAACCTGCCCAGCCGTGTCTATTATTTCAGGTGAAAATGCCTCACTTCACTCCACTAACATGAGGAACCTCAATGACTTGTGCTTCCGGAAGGTCTATGAGTACCTTCATCACATAGGGCAACTTGGCAAATAACAACAACCTTTCAAGATGCACATGACCCAAATTTCATCAATCAAAGAGGTCAGCAGCTAAGTTCCCCCCAAGATATCTTGTCCTGCAAAGGATACTGCAGACCTGAGGCCACGGCACTGGTGCGATAACCTCCCAGGCGCTGCCCGCTCTCAGAGCAATGCCAGGCGAACTGCTTGTCCTGCCCTGTGCTCAGCACCCACTCCAGCTCCAGGACAAACAGGATCATCGTCACTCTGCTCTGATGTGCTGAAAATCAAGAGAAAAGAGAACGACCTATAAGTATCCTAAGGAGGTTGGAAAAGCATGGTCCACAGGGGTGTATCATTCTCTTCTCCCTTCCCCAGAATAAGCTAAGCATTATAACCATGTCAAGGGCGGGGTACAACAATGGTTCTCATCAGAGCCTGGGGTATGCTTCTATAGGCAGGCGTGTCTAAGTTTTTTTTTACGATTTTTAGATAACCATCCATCTCTTCCCCATGCTCCCTCTACCCAGCTTGTGCCAACTCAAGGACTGTCACAGAGAACTCCCATTACCAAGGGCCTGGGCCACTTCCCTCAGACAGGCTCAGGCTACTGGACTAGAGCATCAGACCCAGTGTGACCACAAAACACACTGGGAACAATGCTCATGTAATCCAGCCACTGTGGTTAGTGTATGTGTACTTACAAAAAATTAATAAAGACCATACTGTTCTTTTTTTGATGAACCCTGTCTTATAAACCCATAACAACGTTCTAGATGAACAGCTTTCTCTAAGAAATTAAACGCAGGGAAAAGAGGACAGAATTATTCCCAAGTGCCATATAAAAGAGAATGACATATCCCTTATGCCAAAGTGTGTGTGTGTGTGTGCACGTGTGTGTGTATGAACGATAATGAGTGTAAATTTCCTAGAGGTGTTCATATACAAGGGTAATATTATCATAATTACTGCATCACATGATTTCAGAGTTAGAAGAGACCATTCCTATCACCTCACTGATCTCCCTATTTTACATATGGGCAAAGTGAGGCACAATGAGGTTGAGTAGTTTGGCCAAGGTCTTGTGGCTTCTCAGTTACTGAATGAAATCAGGCAAGAGGATTTTGGCTTGCTTCTTCTTATATAATTCCAGGCAGTGAGGTGCAGGGCACCTGTGGTCACTGAATAGAGCAGATTGAAATAAACAAAAACTGATATGCTGCAGCCTGGACCTTATTGGACCCTGCTCCTAGGGGCTGGTAGTCCGGTGGGGCACGGAGTTTCCCATTTTGATCATGAAAATAGAGTTAGGCAGTATGGATGGATGAATGTGGCTCTGCTGGCAATAACAATATTATCTGCCAATTGCTGAGTATCTAACAAGTGCCAGGTACTTAAATAATATTCTCCAGCTTAATCATTGTACTGACCCTGTGGCTGATTCCCTCATTTTACAGCCAACCCAACCTTAGCAAAATGGACCTTTTAGATTGGCTATCATGTAATACAATCAGAACCAGAGTGAAACCCACAGGATAGTCATTCAACAAATGCCGGATGTTTTAAGATCTGCTATTTGAAGCGTGGAGAATCTAAGAGGATACGAAAGCAAAACTACTATGATTTCCCAACTCTACATGCCTGCCTTTCAGAGTACCAGCCACCACCAAGATCAAAATGTAGGCTTTAACTAAAAGATGTGACTTCTTGGAGAAATTCTTGAAGATCTTTTCATTTCTGTGTCATCAATGGTCCAATTCAAGTTCCACCAGTGGCAGAATAAAAACAAACTCCCAAATGAGTCCAAGTGTACCCAAGTGTATTTCAGGCAGAAAGTGGCCCCTAGCACTTCACCCTTCTTTCTCCTGAAGGGGACTCTGGCCTTCTAACTGTCACCTTCTAAGTCCAAGTGACAACAGCCCTAGACAATAAGGGGTGTTAACCTGCTGAGTGGCCTTCATGTGCCAGAGGACATAGAGCCAAGAAATGTTAAGTGGCTTGCTCAAAGCTACATAAACAATGGGTGACAAAGCTAGAACCAAAAACCCCTCATCTCTGCTGTCACATTCGTTTCTCTTTCTCAGTGTCAGGCTGCCTGTGACTGCTGGAAAACTCAAACAAAACAAAACAGAAAGCCCCAAACTCAAAGCACATACTCTTTCTATGGTGAAAGAATCATTTTATTCAAAAAGAAACACTTCAAAGATACATACTTATCACTAAGCTTCAGATCAGAAGCTTATTTAAGAAAATGGTGGGCTTGATGTCTGGTACTTCTTGAATAGGAGTGATGAGAGGCTACATCCTTGCTTTGATCCTGATCTTAAGAGGAAAGTATCTATTTTCTCACCATTAAGTATGATGTTAGCTATAGGATTTTTGCAGATGTTTCTTTATCAAGTTGAAGAAGTTCCCCTTTATTCCTAGTTTGCTGAGAATATTTTATTATGAATTACATTTTATCAAATGCATTTTCCACATTAAGTGATGTGATATGATTTTTCTTCTTCAGCCTGTTGATGCAATGAATTATATTGACTTTTTAATATTGAACTAGCTTTGCATATCTGGAAAAAAATCCCACTTGGTTATGTTATATAATTCTTTTTATAGATTGTTGGATTCGATTTGCTAGTTTTTTTGAGGATTTTTACATCTATTGTCATGAGAGATACTGGTCTGTAGTTTTCCTTTCTTGTAATGTCTTTAGTTTTTATTAGGATTAATTTTTTTTAAATTTTATTGAGATAAAATTCACATAACATAAATTTCACCACTTCAACCATTTTAGAGTATAAAATTTGCTGGTTTTTAGTATAATCACAATGCCATGCAAGTCATCATAGTAGTGATAACTACTATCTATTTCCAGAACATTTCCATCATCCCAAAATTAAACTCCATATCCCAACTCCCCCTCCTCTCATCCTTGGGAAACCACTAATCTACTTTCTTTCTCCTATTCCTGACATTTCATATAAATGTAATCAAGCAATATGTGGCCTTTGGGTTGTGGCTTCTTTCTCCAAGCATAAGTTTTCAAGGGTTATCCATACTGTAGCAGGTATCAGTACTTCATTCCTTTTTTACAGCCAAATAATTCATCGTATGTATATGCCACATTTTGCTTTTCCATTTATTCACTAATGAACAATGAGGTTATTTCCATTTTTTGGCTATTATGAGTAATGTTGCTATGCACATTTGTGTATGCGTTTTTGTGTGAATACCATCACACTCCACACGATGATGTTTTGATCAATGATGGACCACATACAGGATGGTAGTCCCATAACATTATAATGAAGCTGAAAAATTCCTATTGCCTAGTGACGTTACAGTGCGACACATTAATACATATTTGTGGTGATGATGGTATAAACCAACCAACCTACCGTGCTGTCAGTCACATAAAAGTCTAGCACATACAACTATGTACAGTACATAATATTTGATAATGATAATAAGTGACTCTTTACTGATTTATGTATTTACTATACCATACTTTGTATCATTAATTTAGAATGTATTCCCTCTACTTATTATTTTTTAAAAAGTTAACTGTAAAAAAGCCTCAGGCAGGTCCTTCAGGAGGTATCCAGAAGAAGGCATCATAATTGCAGGAGATGAGAACTCCATTTGTGTTATTGGTCCTAAACACCCTCCAGTGGGACAAGATATAAAGGTGAAGGACAGTGATATTGATGATCCGGACCCTGTGTAGGCCTAGGCTAATGTATGTGTTTCTCAGCATGCGGGCTTCTCCATGGGACAGCTCACAACATAGCACTGGCTTCCACCAGGGAAAGAAAGCAAGAGAGCAAGAGGGGGCGAGTAGGATGGAAGCCCCAGTCTCTTTGGGCCTAATCTTGGAAGCAATATCCATCACTCACCATATTCTAGGTCTGGCACACACTACAGGATAGGAGCGTGAATACCAGGAGACATTACCATTTGGAGCTATCTTAAAGGCTATCTACCAAAACATGCCATATTTTAAATAGTCCTAAAGGTACAATATAATATCCTAAATCTATGACCAAAATAATTTTTAAAAACTTTTTAAGAAATGTTTTTAAAAAATTGATCCATAATAATTGTACATATTTGTGGGGTATATGTAAAAAAAATGTTTTTAAAGAACAGAGGCTCAGGTCAAATAAAATAGGAGTTGGAGATATGTTTAGGCTGGAAAAGAGAAGTATTAATATAAAAAAAAAGACTGAAGGAGGAGAGGAAAGGACAACAGTAGGAACTGTCATTGCTGTTTTAAAATAATTGAAAAGCTGCCATGTGTAAGAGAACTAAGTTTTTGTGGCTCCGACCATCTGGACAAAGACCAATAGGGGAACATTCTAGCACTTATCACACAACATTTGAATGGCATTTACTTGTCACCATCCTCCACTTGATTATAAACTGCTTTATAGACAGACACTAAACGTGTCTTGTTCACTATTACAATCCTCAGTTACTGGAATACAGTAGGTACTCAATAAATATTTGATGAGTGTGAAAAATTAAAGAATAATATAATACTTTAGAGAAATGAATTTATTTCAGCTCCAAATCTTAAAGTACAGTACTTAATGCTTAGAATGTTCCAAAATCAGAATGGTTGCTATGTCGCTAGAGATATTAAAGGAGAGGCTGGATGATCACACAGGATGAAATGAGGTCAAGAGATCTAGATGAAATTACCTTGAAGTGTTATAAGGTCCTCCATAATATTGTTGGTCTGGATAAAGAAATCCCTTCTAAAAATTGCTCCTGAGCTATATTATGAAACTGGCCCGCCAATGTTGAAGACATGATAAAACCATAGTTCTTTCCCTTGGACATTATGAATATTCTGAGAATTTCAAACATTTAACCAAATATGAAATGAGTCCCATTTAAGGCAGCTTTATACTGGCCCCACGTTCTGAGCCTGCTGCACTGCTAAGAAGCAGCATGATGCAGTTGGAGGACAAAGGCTGTGGGTCTGGGAGTCATGCTGACCAGTCTGGCTCTGCACTTGACCAGCGGCAGGGCCACAGGCAAGTTACCCAGCCTATTTGTGCCTCAGCTCCTTAATTCAAAAATTGAACAACATTAACTTCTGGGCCCAGCTTGGTAGCTCACACCTATAATCTTAGCACTTTGGAGGCCCAGGTGGAAGGACTGCTCGAGCTCAGGAGTTTGAGACCAGCCTGAAAAACATAGCGAGACCCCATCTTTACAAAATATACAAAAATTAGTCAGGTGGGGTGGCATGCGCCTATAATCTCAGCAACTTGGGAGGCTGGGGCAGGAGGATCGCTTGAGGTGAGCCCAGGAGGTTGAGACTGCAGTGATCTATGATAACACCACTGCACTCTAGCTTGGGTGACAGAGCAAGACCCTGTCTAAAAAAAAAAAAAAGGGTTGCTCTGTTTTGTTCCTCTGACAAAGAGAGTTAAAGTACTCTCTTGCGGCAGTGAAAGCCATCAAGAAATATTTTAAAGTCCGGATAATGAAAACACTCCTCTCACTCCCTACCTTGATAGTTTTTCACAGGAGTCATCTTGTTATAATCTTCTGACAAAATAAACTCCTGTAAAAGAAAAGAAAAATATTAAGCAAAAAGAAATTCTTCAAGTGGATAACTATGTTTTGATAAAACCAGAATGGATAAAGTAAATTATCATCACAGCTTCAACTAACATTAGTATTTTGCCCATTAATTCAGCATTTTTATGCCTCTTTAAAAGTGACAATCATAATTATGATCCAATGCAATTACCATAATTTTTGCCTTATAATTCCTTTTTGTGAGCGTATGCAGGAGAAGAATACTGGATCAAGTTCAGAGTCTTGACCCTGGTCAACTTTATAAATAAACTTGATTTAAAATACTTTTCTCTCAAGGGTGCCACAGCTAAAAATTTGCAAGGCTCTCACCTGTGAGCAATTCTTTTCTAAAGAAATAAATTAAGCCGGGCATGGTGGCTCACGCCTATCCTAGCACTCTGGGAGGCTGAGGCGGGCGGATTGCTCAAGGTCAGGAGTTCGAAACCAGCCTGAGCAAGAGCAAGACCCCGTCTCTACTATAAATAGAAAGAAATTAATTGGCCAACTAATATATATATAAAATTAGCTGGGCATGGTGGCGCATGCCTGTAGTCCCAGCTACTCGGGAGGCTGAGGCAGAAGGATTGCTTGAGCCCAGGAGATTGAGGTTGCTGTGAGCTAGGCTGACGCCGCGGCACTCACTCTAGCCTGGTCAACAAGCGAGACTCTGTCTCAATAAATAAATAAATAAATAAATAAATAAATAAATAAATTAGATGTTTTAAAGATTCCGTTTGTACCATCAGTAATCTATTTCATGTTACTTACTATAAGCTACTCATGGCTGCATCTTAACCATTCCCTGTATCCCTATGGCACCTTGCACAGTGTCTTGGCACAGCAGCAGGGGATCAGTAAATATTGGTCAAACAGACAAGTAGAAGGCACCTCTCAATCTGATGAGGTTAGTTTGGATGTTAAATTTACTGAAAAAATCAGTTTCTATCCAGCACATCGTAGTCTTCGTGGGGATACGTTAAAGGTGAGTGTGTATGGTTTCACCTAAGCGTCTACATATATGCAGTAGAAGTCAATCAAGTGTTTCTGGGACCCTGCCAGGTTTTAAGTCCTTTAGCTTCTTTCAAATGCAAAATATCCATATACCCTTAAAAAGTAAATTGTCAAACATAAGGAAAGCTGCAAAGTCTAAGAAATCAATGCCTTCATCTGAGCCTAAAAATGAAACAATGAATATTTTCATACCATTTGGAAACATCCAGAATTTTTCTTTGATGACTTTTAAAAAATGGGAGAGAGGACAGACACAGAAATTCCTGACTTGCTGTCTGGGTGTTTACTGAGTTCATATAGTTTGTGAAATTTTCTAGAAGCAACTAATCATGTTATTGTTTGTGTGGTAATTGTCGCAAAGGTAAAGTAGAAGGTGACATAGAGAACATCAACTCAGCAACAAAGTTTCTTTGGTTATGCACTTTTCTGGCCCGGTTCTCTTTATGAAGCTTGTCTACACGTGGATGTTCTTCACCATAATTTTCTCAGTAATAACAATGTTCAACTTGTCGCTTTTAAAATTCATATCATTATTCCCTCAAGGAGTGGCATTATATCCACTTCTCATTTCTGAAGCGTTGGACTCACACAATTGAATGGAGTGGAGGAATTTTTAAAAGGTAAAGTAGCTTGCCCATAAGGAGCGTACAGTGTGGGTAGGGAAACCTCACACATGTCTCAGCATCAATTCCCTGTTGACCTTTAACCCCAGGCAAGATAACTTTGACCCTGAGCCCCACACTTCAGAGGATCCCCAACATCATAACACACAAATACATTTATTAAAAACAATGGTTATTTGGGCAATTGTTTAGAGTTCATATAGTTCATGTTATTTTGAATATACTGAAATAGTTCTCTAGCTTGAGCAAAAGACACCTGAATTTCTTCTGGAACAAGGCAAGGTATAAATTAAAACAATCTGATGCAGGTTTGCATTTAGGGTTTAATACATACATCCAAAATAAAATTACCTGTTCACTGAATTGACAAACCTAATTTTTTGTTCATTTGTTATTCCTGTGATAATAAAAACATAGAATCATGGAGAAAATTTGAGAGATTTTTGCCAGTTTTCATAGTTTTAATCATAAAAACAATGTTATTCTAAGGAACATGAGATGGATAAACATTAAAAAGTCCCTTGTGATTCCATTTCTCAGAGATAAGTATTATGGAAAGTATTATTGTAATAATATATAAATAAAACAAAAAGTTACAACTACTTGACAATACTTTTTTTCTTTTTATAAATCATGTATATCATTCCATATGAGAACATACTTATCAACTTCATTCTTTTTAATAACTGCACAGGATGTACTGTAATGTTCTTTTATTGATAAACGTTTATTTTGTTTCTAGTTTTCCTTATTAAAAAGATTACATTAAATATATTGTGTCTTCAGATATCTCTAGCAGTATTTCTATAAAAGTTTTAAAAGTAGAATTGTTGGATTGGAGGGTATGACATTTAACATTTGATAGATAGTGTCACTTGTCTGCTATTTTATACTTACTACAACAATATTGCAAGAAAGGTCTTTGCACATGTATTCATATAAATTAATATATAGAAGAGATTGTTGGCTCACATATGTACACTTAATGTTTTCATAAGCACTGCCAGATCACTTTCCAGGAAGTATACAGCCATTTATTTCCTATTCACCGCTACTTTCATATGATAGCATATCTTCCCGTATCACATCAGCACTGAATGCTATTCATCTTTTTAATTTTTGCCAAACTGATGTGCAAAAAAAAAAAAAAAAAGCATCTCATTGGGCTTTAATGTGCATTACCCTGTTTATGAGCTGGAGAACTTTTTTATATGTTTGTTTACCATTTTCATTTCCTATTCTATGAATTTTCTGTTCAAATCCCGCTGTAGTTTGGCTCCCTAGAAAATAGAGCCTAAGGCATAGTCTCAGTCTAATGCTTTAACTGGAGGTGCAGTATCAGCAGTTTAACAAAGTGAAGTACAGAAAGATGGTGGTGAGCTATCAAGCTGGCCTGAGTTTCATGAAGAAGCCCAACTGGTTCTCTAGCATACGGGAAGTCTTCGGACACACAAAACTGAACACCAAGTTTAGGAAGAGTCCACTGGAAGGAGGGATGGAGTAAGAATTTATCTGCCAGCTCTCTCCCATCTTCTTTGAATTTTGATCATAGCTCCACGGGAGTTTAGCTTCCTCCTCCTTCTGGGAAGGTGTATTAATACTACCTCACCCCATTTACTAGTTGACCACTGGAGTAGTCAGACCTTTGGCCTTGCAGTGCTGTGTTTCATACAACTCAGAAAGCAGCAGAGGAAACAGAGACTTTGGGCTTTGGCCTCAGAGTGGAACAAGAAAAAATCAAAAAAATCTGAAGCAGTGTGTGTGATGTGGCTTAGGCATATCCTTTTCCCCTTTTTACCAATTGCATTTGTAATTTTCTTACTGAACTGTAGAAACCCTTTGATTGTTAGGTATAGAAACCCTTTGTTTAAGATGTGTATTGACAATATTTTCTCTCCTAATGCTCTGCTTTGAATTTTATTTATTGATCTTTTGTAGTATTGAATTTTTTTATTTTTTAATAAACAGCCACAGCATTATGAGTTGAAACTTTGTTCTATCTTTTAAGTTTTAATTTGGGAAGGAATAATATTTTAATTGTAATATGTCTTCCATGAGAAACATACTCAGGTCTTTAAATACAATTTTTCTTTACTAGAAATGGATGGAAATTTTGAATGGAAACTTGAATGGAAATTTTTTTCCATTTCAATTTCTAAAGAGTTACTGTTCATATATACTAAAAATAGCTTCTGGTTCAGATATTTTAGTATGCTATCATAGCATTGAATATGTTATTTGTTGTTGACTTTGGCAAACAACCTAGACTAAGTTTTACGTAAAAAGATTATTTTAATATTCATCTAGCTACATTTTTTTAAGAAGAGATATTTGGAAACATATAGGCTTTATGTTAACACAATTTTTATCTATAGTAATTAAATCACCTTATTTTAGTTTTATCTGGAGTTTTTATTAGGAGTACCTACTGAATTTAATTAAATGTGTTTTGGTATCTATTATACAAACTTTTTTTTTCAAAATAAAACTTTTAATTTATAAAAGTAATTGACTATTCTGATAAATTTCCTAATACTGAGCCATTCTTAAATTCCTGAAAGAATCCAAACTTGTCGTGGTATATTCTTCCTTTAGTGCATTACTGGATTTGATATGCTAACATTTTATAAGGACTTTTACATACATATGTTTACAAGTATTATTGGTCTGTAGTTTTCCACTGTGGTGCTATCTTCACTGGGTTTTGGTTTAAAGATAGCAAAACAGTGGTTAAGAGCTCCTGGCACTGGAGCCAAATTGTCTCGTTTAAATCCCAGCTAAAGCACATAACTAGTTTTATGATCTTGGATGAGATGCTCTAGATCTCTATCCTTCACTTTCCTCCTCTGTAATAGCCTCACAAGACTGTTGAGAAGACAGAGTTAACAAAAAATGCATTTAAAGCAGTGCCCTGCATATAGTAAGCACTCTGATAGTTAAGTAAAATAAATAAATGCTACCTTTTGTAAAATGAATTAAAGAGCTTTCCTTAAAAACAAACAAACAAACAAAAAACCCTTCCGGAATATATTGAACAACTCTAACTGAAGAATTAGAAAGAATTTAACTTTTCAAGCTTTTCCCGGGCATATATACAAACACATGCTACACATGTTTGTAGCTCTCCTGTTTAACTTGATCAACACTATCACAAGAGCATTTCTCATGTCATTAAACATTCTTTGAAAAATAAGTTTTAATGGCTATCACATTGGAAGGCAATATAGGATTTTATCTAATTAGTCCCTGACTGTTACATTTCTAAGACACAAATGTTTTATCATAAAAATAATGAGAATGAGAATATACTTATAAATAAGCTATGTCTATTTTTATGATTATTTTCTTT